GGTGGCCGCGAACCCGGGCCTCCCGCAGAACAGAAGCCGGAGACGGTGCCTAGGAGCTGCTCACAGCGCATGACGAGGGGTGTGTTAGAAAGGAAACGAGGGTGAGGGCGGGGAGCAGGTGAAGGCAGACTCTCAGACGCCCACCTCCCGCCCGCAGCTGCCCATCTGGGGCCATCGGGCATGTAGTCAGATCTCGTTTTTATTTTATCTGGTAAAGTGATTGATACAAGATGATTTCGAACAGGAAGAAAAAGTGTGTGTGTGTGTGTGTGTGTGTGTGTGTGTAGATATATACGTATACATAGGGAGAGATACATGTACATAGTGTCATGTATAAAAACGTGTATATAAATAATGTATAAAGGATTTATAGTCTTTTTTCTGGAAAATGCTTTCATGTGTCTGTGACTTTTTACCTTTTGTACAACACTCATCACACATTTTATCTTGCATTATCCACTTAGCGATCTCCGCCAGGCAGGGCAGTCAGCATTCCTACTTTTCAGAACAGATAATCAAGCCCGTGTTAAGTACACCTGCCCAAGGTGCGTTCTGGAGGCTTCTCGATGAGCGGTCTGAGGTTGTCTGGTTAGGGAGAACTGCTCATGTACAGACATTGTGCTCAACCCGGCCTCCCCGCCACCCTTCACCTCGTGTGGGGATTGTGCAGTGACAGGCTGACCTTCCAGGGGGAAGAGCCTGGTGTGCTCCGTGCTCCTCTTGAAGCAGCCAGGACACCTGCCACTTGGGCTTGCTCCTCCTTCCCTTCCGGACTGCAGGAAACTGACACAGCTCAGAGTGACCTGAGCATTCCCTGGGTAACTGAGGGAAGTTTTGTCTTTGTGTCTGCCCTGCCATAGTTTAACTCCTCACAGGGTACCTCAGTCACCGAACAGGGGAGTGGAGGTTGTGATTCTATGGGTGATGACCTCTCTATTCCTACAAGCACTGGGTTAATTCTAAAGTCTCTTTAAAAATCGTTTTATATTTAGCCAGGCATGATGACCCATATTTGTAATTAAAAAACAAAAACAAAAACAAAACGGTGTGTAGCTCAGTGGAAAAGCCCCATATTCAGTCTCCAGTACTGCAGTAAATGAATAAATAAACAAACCAGTTTTGTATTTATTTTTAGTCCTCCCACGAACCTTCTATTGGAGATTGAACCCACAGCCTCGGCACTCACTGAGTTGTTTTGTTTTCTTGAGACAGGTCTGGTTATGTAGTTCAGACTGCTCTTGAACTCACAGTGTAGCCTAGGCTGGCCTCGAACTCACAGCAGTCCTCCTGCACCACCCTCCTGAGTGCTGGGATTATAGGCGTTTGCCACCATGCCTTCCCTAGTTTTATTTTTTTTATAACAAATTGAAATAATAGAGAATTACATACTTTCCACAATGGATGTAATAATTACATGTTGCAAAAATGTTCTAATAAAAAATTGCAAAAGAGAATATAAAGATACAGCAATAGCCACTCACAGAAGAAAGGCCATGTTAAAACCCAGAAAGCAGCAAAATAAAAAGAAGGAGGCAGCTTTCTGCTAGCCAAGGAGACTGGTCTCTGGAGAAATCAAACCTTTTGATACTTTAATGTTGAACTTCTAGCCTCCAGAACCAGGGAAAAATGGACTTTTATTATAAAAGGGCCCATCCTATGGTCTTTGATATGGCAACCCTAACAAGCTATTATTTTAAATTATTTTATTTTTTTGGTTTTTTGGAAATGAGATCTTATTACATAGCTCAGAACACACAATGATCTTACAGCCTTGGCCTCCTGAGTGCTGGGAATACAGGTGTTCACCACCATGTCTGGCTATTTTTGTTTTCAAATCAATTTAAGGACAATACAGTTTATCCATTGTAAGTATATGGGTCTATAAGTGCTATCAAATACATACACCTAGGGCCTGGGTTTTAGCTCACTGATTCTGCCACCTGCCTTGCAAGTGCAATGTCCTGAGTTCTATACCTGTACCAAAAAAATAAAAATAAAAATACTTCTACAGGCTGGGCATGGTAGTACACACCTGTAATCCCAATACTCAGGAAGCTGAGGTTGAAGGATTGCTGAGTTCAAGGTCAGCCTGAGATAAAGTGATGAGACTGTGTCCCCCCCAAAAAAAATAGGGCAAGGGACTTAGCTTGGTGGTTCTGCCACCTGTCTTGCAAACACAAGGTCCTGAGTTCGATCCCTGGTACCAAAATTAAAAAAAAAAAAAAAACACCCATGAAACCAAACTTTCTATAAACTCAAAAGTTCTCCTTTTACCTACAGTCAGCCCCCTCCCAAAAGCAGGTCCCAGGCAGCCATTAAGCTGCTTTCTATCAGTAGAGAGTGTTTTCATGATATCCTCCTTTTTCATATGGTTGCTTTTACTCACAGGTTCCCCTGTGTTTCTTTTATATCATTTGTTTTTTCTTTCCTTTTTTATGTCTGTCACATCCAATGATTGAAATACATTGGTGTTATCTCCAGTTTTAGCCTCCGTGAATGAAGGGCTGTGAGCACTTATTACTTGTTTTTGTATGGTCACATGTTTCTGTTTCCTCGGGTAACGTATAGAAGTTGGATTTCTGGGTTTTATTGAACATCTATGTTTAGTTTTATAAGAATTCTGTACTGTTAGGGCCGGGAATTTAGCTCATTGGTTTTAGCACAAGGTCATGAGTTCGATCCCCGGTACTTGGGGGGGGATTCTATATAATTGGTACATTTTAGATATACATAATGATAACATTTGTCATAGGAATTTGTACCTGTACATGATATATCTTGCTTCTTTTTTTTCCCCCATTTACCCTCTCCCTTTTATCCCTCTTCCCTTCATTTGCAAAAGCTTTGTGGGCCAGTGATTTAGCTCAGTGGTGCTGCTGCCTGCCTCAAAAGTACAAGGTACTGAGTTCTATCCCTGGTACAAAAAACAAAACTGGCAAAAGCTTTGTTGCCATTTTTACCTTCTTTCTTCTTTCTGTTTTTTTCTTGTCCCTTCTTTCCTTTCCCTCTTCCCCTTCCCTTCTAATTTGAACATTTTCTTCTTGGTGTCTCAATCAATATCTGTTACACATTTTAGTGCTTATTTCCACTTTTGCTTTTTCACCCCAGAGAAACAATGTGTCTATTTCGTTTAAGAGCGTGGTCTCAAGGTGCATCCATTTACCTAGAAATTTCTCAGGCTTTTCCTTCTTTATGACACAGTAGTACTCCATTGTATAAAAAAGCCACATCTGTTTGTTTGTTTGTTTGTTTTGTACAGGAGATTGAACTGGGAACCTTGCGCTTTTGAGGCAGTCAGTGAAACTACTGAGCTAAATCCCTGGCCCCTTCATCTTCTTTATCCTTTTGTCAGTTGTTAGGCATTTGGGCTGTTTCCAAGTGCTGCTATAAATATAGTATGCATATATTGTTATGGTACGATGCTTTTAATTTTGGGGGGAAGATATTTAGAAGGGGAATAGCTGGGTCAAGTGGAACATCTAGTTTTAGTTTAGTTTAGTTTTGGTTGGGTTTGGTTTGGTTTGGTTTTGAGGAATCTTTCCGCTGATTTCCACAGTGGCTTCAGCAGTCACACTCCCACCAACAGTGCAAAAGGTTTCCTTTTTCCCCATCCCCATGGACCCACCAGTATTTTTTTTTTTTTTGTACCAGGGATTGAACTCAGGACCTTGTGCTTGTGAGGCAGGCGTGGTGCCACTGAGCCAAATCCTGGGCCCTACCAGGATTTATTATTGGTTGATTTCTTCATAACAGCCATTTTTTCTGGAGTGAAATGGCATCTCAGTGTTGTTTTAATTTGTATTGTAAGACTTGTGTCTCACTTTTACTCCTGGAGCGTGAACAGCCAAGAGGCCGTCACGATGCTGGGCTCAGTAGCTCAGCGAGGCTCCAGGAGCTTGTCTGATAGCGAGAGTCACCCAGGAAGGAACACACCAGGCAAGTTGGCTAATAGACCTTTATTAGTCTGGCCAGACTGCACTTCCTAAGCCAAGTAGCTCAGAAAGGGTGCCCAGCTCAGAAACAGAGGCCATTTTATATTGGGCTGAAGGGGGGGGTTACACTTAAAACTTACAGAGAGAGGACAAAGGCAAAGAATCAGTTAATCTGAGCTAGTGGTCATCAGGCATATACTTGACCGTCACGTACTAATGATCAGCAGATTGATTATCCATTTTTCCATTTTCAACTTAGATTACAAAGTTCAGAACATTCAACTACACGCAAGCAAGGAGTGGTGTGATTGATGTTGGGTCTCTGTGTTCACTACAGTTTCCATCTAGCCTCCCAGCTACTTCAAAGCAGCCACCCAACAATTCACAATTAATCACTAGTTATTCCATAAGGGATGGAGGGGAGCGACAGCCTCCAGGTCATTCGCTGGTCAACATGGAGTCGCTCTGGTTCAGCCAGGCTCCCACAGTATCTCAGTGATATTGAACATTTTTTCATAAATTTACTTGCTTTTTCTATTCTTCATCTGAGAAATGTCGGATGCCCCTTTTTGAATTGGGTCTTTAAATTTGGGGAGGGTCTGATTTTTTGAGTTCTTTATATATTCTAGATATTAGTCCTTTGTCTGAGGAACAGCTGGCAAAATTTTTTTCACACCCTGTTGGTTGTCTCTTCACTCTGTTGGTGGTTTCTTTTGCTGTGCAAAGGCTTTTTTTTTTTGCAAAAAGAAAACTATTTG